CAGATGGCGAAGGAAGGTTATGAAAACGCGAAACAGTGGAGAATAACTGAAAAAAAAATTAAATAAAAAATCAAATTATATAGTAAAAATCAGTGACCGAAATACCAGTTATTTTTTTAACAGTTAAACTTGGCAAAATATTTTTAAATAAGTTTGGTATCAAATGAATTTGAATCCAAATTTCAAACTTTGTTCTCAGAAGTGTTAGTATTTTGTTGTTGTAAGTACATTTCAGTTCAGTTACATAAGAGACACTACCTTTCCGTTGCAAAAAGAATTATTGAAATCGGTTGACGTGGTGCAAAGTTATGCGGTAACATACATAAAAAAAAATATAAATAAAAATATTCCGACGAACTGATAACTTCCTCCTTTTTTTGGAAGTCGGTTAAAAAATGGCGAAAAGCCTCGAAAAGATGCCGAAAAGTCCGAAAAAAATTATGAAAAATTCTGTAGAATTTTGAAAAAATCTGGAAGATTTCCGAAAAAGAATCAAAATTTCCCCAGATATATTCAAGTTTCCGAAAAGTCATACAATAACGCCAAAAAGTAACGAAAAAATCTTGAACATTTTCAAAAGCATCCCCAGTAAAGGGCATGTCAACTAAAAATCATACAAAATGACGCAAAAGAAATGGAAAATCAGCTTGCGGTCTTCAAGAAAATACATCTATCTCTTATATTTTTTTCTTAGGAACCCATCAAATGTTAACCAATTGTGTAATAAAAAACAAGGATTTTTTATTTTGATATTCTTCAGTTCTGGCTGAACAAAAATGTGCATTCATTATTTTGGATCTGAAATTTCCCGAAAAATAAATGAAAGGTTCCAAAAACTCTTTCAAAACTTAGACAATAAAAAAAATAGTTTAGAGGGGATCTTAAAGAGGGATCTTGAAAAAAACAAACGGATTTCTTTTATAAAAAGGGCTTAGTGATCCGAATCTATAATCTTTAACATACACGTGTATCCAAAGGATATAACTTTAATTTAAAACGAAAATTTCAAATTTCCGAGCACTATTTTATTAATAAATTCGATCAATTTCGAGGTAGATTCTGCGCAAAAATACTGTGGATGTCGTAGCCGGAGTTATATGCACAAGAAATGTTGTATACCTTTGGGGTCTGGAAGGATGAATTTTCTTAAAGTTTGGAACCTCAATTTAAAAAATGCAAGAGTTATTGCATTTTTTATGATTTTGTTCGAGAAAGGCAAAAAGGGTGAGCAAAAATTGTTCCGGCAATTCGCTTTTCAGAAATTAAAAAAAAAAAACTTTCCAAAGACACTGTACATACATATACGCGAGGCGTATCTGTACATGCAACTTGTTCCGAAAATTCTCAATTTGACAGCATTTTCGCCTGACTGCACTTTACTGAGCGCTCTATAAGAATTTCGAAAACGAAACAACATTAATAAGATAAAGAAATAAATTGCCACGTTCCCTATGATAACAGTTTTTAAACTCTAATTACCATTATACAAATGATAACACAATATAGTATGTGAGTACATAAGTAAGTACATATGTATGTATGTACATTAGACCGTACAAATTTACAAGCGAACAAAAAAAGTTATTTTTTTAGAAGGAGATTTCGACTTTTTTTTGGGGCCGAACCTGTTCGCCTTATTTAGATTTTACGGGGACACCTATGTACATATGTAGATACATATATACATACACTCGACATTAAAAACTTTTTGTTTTAATAGTTCTGCTAGAATAATCAAAATACTTCTTTAGCAAAAGTTAGAATGGTATTTACGTCAGGGTAGTTTGGTACTGAGATCTGCTGGGTATGTAGCAAAAAAACTGTCTTCTACCCTACTGCAAATGCAAAAGATATGATACAAAATTAAAAAGGCAATCAGTTTCTAAATTGTCCTGCAAAAATACTTTAGACTCAGGAGTGTGCGGCCTTCTTTTTTCTTGTACGGTCTAATCTACACACACGTGTATGTATGTAAGTATGTACAATTACGTGGATTTATCAACCTTTTCGCCGAGATTTTCAAATATTTACACCCTCATTAGCTCCGACAGCGATAAGCACGAGCGCCATCAAAAGTCGGCATAGATCAACAATTGATTAGCAACCGCCCGCCAATCAGCTTTTGGCCAACAAGTCACAAGCCACATAAAAAATGTACATATATATGCCATGTTAGTCGTCTCAGCACCATAACGGCCTATTTAAAGTTCGCTTCAATCAATATCAACAAGCATAACGGCATGCAGACAGAAAACTGATCCAATTGGTGTGCTCACCCAGCCATTATTTATGTCAACGTTGCCTTGCTAAGCTTTGACACAGCTCACGTAGTACTACATATGTACATATGTATATACCCAACCAGTCAAAATATAGAATACTCATGCGTTAGTCGCTTCTTTTGTAACACGCTTCGATGAATTAAGTTCATCGATTTTTTCAATACGATTCATGATTCCAGCTGAAATAGGTCACCAACTTTTTGGTATTTTGCGCTACTGCCATATGGAAGGTATTCTGGAATTCAACTATTTTCTGTTTATACATATTTTCTCACGCAATCTGCTTTCGGGAGCATAAAATACCCAAAACATTAAAAATGCTTTGTCCAATTCAAATGAACTGCATAGTTACTTCACCTAACACAAAATATAAACGTGACTAATACGCGTTTATATGGAATTTCATGTTTTTTTTGCAGAATTTTCGTTAACAGTTGTCGCTCGAAACCAGAAATTGTTGGCAAACACTACATAATATGTACTTATAGCCAACTTGGCTAAAAGCATAGATTCAACTTTACTGTTCTTGATGGCACAATTCATTGTTTCGCCTAATTTGTTGTGAATTTTTTATTTTCTTATTTAGTTTCATTTAGTGCTTGATTCATAAATATTTCTAAGGCCGAAAAGTTTATTTAGTTACTTATGAAAATTTTGCATACATAGATATTGCGGCTTCAAGATTTTGGAGAAGGTTGAGATAGCACACGGAACCTATTTCTTGTAATTATTTACCTAATCCCTTAGACTTACAAAATTGGGACATACAGGGAAGGCAAATGACTGGAGCAGACTCACAATGAGTAGCGTTGCTTGCCAAACTTAAAAGGCAGTTGCCGAGTGCCTTAAGGGAGCCTTGTTGTTGTTCTCTACAACCCTGGCTCTGCTCCTGATGCTCTGCTAAACTTACAAACATTTTACAACTTTATACGTAGGGTGGCCTTAAATGCCACCAGCAGACTTAAAAGAAATTTGTGTTGGTATGATAATGAGTGGGGCGAGGCAGATATATCTGGTGAATGAGTCTTTTCAATGCCCCAGATGGAGTACCCTAAGGCTGAATGCTGGTTAAATCTGGAATCTTTACCGATACATCTAAAACTGACGCTGGGTCAGAATCTGGTTTTATATCGAAGATAATGGCGATGATGAGCTCACTTTGCTCTTGGGAATATGCCCCGGTATTCCAGGCCGAGACGGCGGGCCATTTATGTGCCCTGTTCCGCCCTTGCAAATATTTGGTACGAGGTTTTTGGAAACGATTTTTTGGACAGCCGACAATCTGCTACGATTTCTTCTTAAAAGGTATTGTGAAAACAGTACAATATCTATATACAGGCATGTAGCCAGAGAAAAAAAATTGCCCGCTCAAAAAACAAAAACAGTTCCAAGATTTGTAAACAGCTGATGCACAAATTTAATTATTTATTTAAATATCTGCAACCACAATGCAACTTTTGTGAATTTTTTGCTAAAATATTCACAACGATCAAACTAACCCGCGTCTGCTACTCGGAACTAGGTGAAAACGAAACGGCCAAAACCCACCTAACAGACGATAGGCTACTCGTTCCCATGACAGTCGGGTCTACGTAACCGAAACGGCCCAGATTTACATCTGGCCAAGGACTGTCACTCCAGCAACACTCCCCAAAAAGTTTTTGGGGAATTTGTATGCTGCTACAACAAGAACAACGGTAGGCTACTGCAGCAGGTTCAACTCAAACCTGAGCAAACCAGATGCAGATGTTCCAAATGAGTGTTCGGCATGCGGAGAGGCACCCCACGACTCGAAACATCTTTTCGCATGCCCGGAGAACTCCACACAGTTAACGCTTTGGCCCTGTAGACAGACCCTATATAGGCTG